TCTTTTATTCCTATACTCTCCAGTGATTCTGAATGAACTTGTTTTTTAGTTAATGGATCACACATTGCACTTCTTTACTAACAAACACTGCAGGATGTTCTGTCCGCACCTGACTTGCAGCTCTTTTTGGGAATAAAATGGAATTCTGATCATCCAGCAAGGACTGGAGGCTGAGCCCAAGGAGGGTGCACCACCATTTTATGACCCCTTTATTAACACACTTCCCACAGCAGTATTTTAAATATAATTACTGCCCACATTTGATCGGCATCCTTTAAGGGAAGAGGGGATGTTATCATTTATCCCTAATTTGTATGAGTGGAATAGGGGTTTCGGCAGGGTTTAGGTGTGTCATTGAGAGGTGGTGGTTCCAGGTGTCCAATATACTTTTACGATCATGTGAAGATTATTGGCTTATTAACACTAGGACAAAGCAGAAGTGAAAGGACTAAAATTATTGGGCACCATCTTGCTTCTATTGTCAAACCTTAGGATAAGAATCTTAGATATGTTAGAACATAGAATACTCATTCCTCATATGTAGCGATCTTCTCCAAAAGCACACTTCTCATCAACTTAGTAAAAGAGAACATATTTAAGGAACTTAAAACCTCTTCTGAAGAACGCAATGATCATATCTATTTTTATTTACATGTTTTGGGGGATGGGGGGAGAGCTGTCTAAAGTTTATTTTTATTTTGGTATTGCTTTTTTTTATCATTGACTAAGATTTGAAGATAAGCTGGATTTTCATTGAGTCAAACAAGAAGCCAATCAAGATAAAGCTTTGATTGCAAAGCGTTCACCTTCTTCCTTGCTAATATCACTGTCTGTCTGTAGGGATAAAATGTGGAATAAATGCTTAATAAATTGATCAAAAGTAAGTACATTGATAACTACAAACAATTCAAATATCACTGTATTTGCTGCTTTATATGAAAAACCTTTTCTAGAAAAATTTATCCAACTCTAGGACTTTCTGACTATACAGCATTATGATGACTCCATCCCTATCAGTCATGAAACTACTTGATTACACGTATTTACATATACCCATCAAATAGAAAATTCCAAATAAATTGTTCAGAATTGGGATTCATTGCAAAGTATTATTTACTATTTCTCAACATGTTAATAGCCGCCAATAAACTGCTAACTCTGTTGAAATGATCTCAGTCACACCATACTGATACCTTACACAGTTAAATTCAAGTGATAATCCTTATAAGGAAGGGTTATTCACTAAAGTGAGAAATAAAAGTGAATTTCAAATTTTAAGATGAAATAGTCAAATTAAAAATATTCTCCAAGTTGACAACGTTTTTAATTTGGTTAATTCACTTTGAATTCTAACTTTAGTAAATAATCCTGTTGGCGAATTCAGCAGCTGAATCTAAACCCATAAGTCAATTAAAAACACTTTTCTTTTTTTTTTCTTCTTTTTTTATCATGCATTTTAATCAGTTCACATTTTGCACATTGTGTTACAGAGTTCGTGCAGTCTTAAGTGAAAAGCGAAAAGTATCACAATACATATAATAACATTAATAGTGCAACATGTCACATTGGTTCATGAGTGTACAGCAATATGAACTTGTTTTTCAAGCGGGGAAGGTGGAGAGAAGGGTGGGATACTTGGTAGGGGGGTGGATGAGGGAGACAATAAACCACGCTGTTTAAGTTGGAGCATATGTGGGAGCAATGCTAATAGGAGTGCGAGACATCATTACGCTTTAGGTTTTACCTGGCAGTTATATTGTAATGAGTCCAACAATAAACACAAATTTAGACAAGAGATACAGCAGAAAATCACAACAAATGTGTAGCCTAACAGTGTTAGTACTCCAGTGGGTGTAGCCAGTGTTAGTACTCCAGTGGGTGTAGTTATGGTGTAGCCATGATGAGTACCGTTTGGGAGCAAGTTCTGGAACTAGCCAAAAGTTACTTCTAGAGTTATATTATTGGTTTGATATATTTTGTGTTATTTTAGGCTAGATCATGGGCTGGGTTATGAACTCGGCTGTTGAGATATTGAGCACTTTGTGCTTTAAGGGTCTGATGGAGTGGGGTTTTTGCATTATCCCGCATGTGCCATGCCACTTTCCAGAATTGTTTCTTGGAGTGGGCTGCTTCTCTGCAGGAGGTCTCATATAGTTGGGTGAGGTCTATACTTTGGATACATTGGTGTAGAGTGGGAGCCTCAGTGTTGCGCCATTGTCTGCTTATTGTTGCTAGGGCTGCTACATTGATGTGGTATATTAGATATTTTGTTGCTTTAGATAGTTTTGGTGGGTAGTTGTGCAGTAGCAGGCAGGCTGTTTGGGGATCTTAGTCCCTGTGCAAGAGTAAATCAGGTCCACTACTGCTGTCCAGTGCGTAATTAGTTTCGAGCATTCCCACCAGACGTGTAACATGTTTTCATTGCTGCGGCAATGCTCAGATCTCGCGAGAGTGAACTCTAGCCCCGCAGGCTAGAGTTCACTCTCTACTGGACCACCAAGGAGGGAACATGGCAGCAAGGATCCCCCCTCCCTACATAAGGTAAGAAGGGAGGGGGGATATTTACTAATCTGCCCCCACCTCCACCCCCACAATCCCTCCAAACATACAGCACACACACACACACACACACACACACATACTGCACCCTCACACACACAGCACCCACACACACACAGCACACAAACAGCACACACATACACACACACACACACAGCACCCTAACAAACATACACACACAAGCAACCTCACACACACAAAGCACACTACCAGCACCCTCACACACAGCACACAAACAGCACCCTCACACACAGCACACTAACAGCATCCTCACAAACACACACACACAAACACCATCACCCACGTAGCGAACTACCAGCACCCTCACACACACATCACACACAGCACCCTTACACACACACACACACACACACACACACACACACACACACAGCACCCTTACACCACCCTCACACAGCACACTAACAGCACACACACACACACACACACACACAGCAGTGTATGTATGTGTGTGTATATATATATATATATATATATATACATATATATATATATATATATATATATATACACATACATACATACATACATAGACACACGGCGTGTGTTTGTGCTTTAGTGTGCTTTAGTGTGCACACCCTAATGCAATAGGCTGCGCACGCCTATGACTAAGTACCAGCAGAACAGAATTTTTAGTTCTATGTGGTTGGCACTTAATGTGAGTTTTTTAAGAGTTTGGAATATCTCTTTCCATATTTGCTCAGTTAGAGTAATGCGAAGCTCCTTTTCCCAAGCCTTAACAAATGTGGGCTTATCTTTCAGTCTGTATTTCAGAATGCTAGTGTAAAGTGTAGAGATTATGCCAGTTGCTGGTTTAATTTTTAACAGTATCCACTCATAGCTCGTCAGCCGATGTCCATGTACATCAATTTTTGCCCAAGCTGTTTGCTCTTGTACCTATGAGTGTATCTGTAAGTATGACAATTATGCCATTGGAGATTGTGTTGTCGTTGCAATTCTTGGAAACGTAATGGATGATCATTGTGATAGAATTAATACATAAAGTATACCAAGTCATGTCACCTATCTCGCTGTGCAGCATTTATTTCAGCATAGGGCATGTAGCTAAGATAAGGTCTATTCTCGAGTGTGTCCCGTGTACCTGTGAAAAATATGTGTTGGAGTGGTATGATGGGTGTAGTGCCCGCCTGGTGTTGTAAAGGCCATATTCTAGTATTAGTTTATTTAGGGATTTGCATAATGGGGAAAACCATAGTGTTAGTGTTGTAAGTCTAATCCTATGTTCCCCCTCTAAGGAGCGTGTATGCTGGGCTACGTTTGGCATTTCTGCGGCTCCTGCCACATTGCGTGTATTGTATGGGTAACAATCACATGGGTGCAGTTTATGTCTCTCGGGGGGATATGGTAAAGAAGGGGTAAACCAATAGAAGGTGAAACAAAGTATAGACAGTGATCCCCACCAAGGGGGAGAAGTGCAAAGGATTTGCACCTTGGGGTAAGAAGTCTCAGTTTTCTGAGGTCAGTGGCTACCTGGGCTCTTAGGTAGGAATGGCATCTATGACTGAGAAAGTCCTATTATGAATAGGTAAAATAGGAGAGTCCTGTTATGAATATTACATAACATTGTCAAATAACATCTTAGTCTGACACAAATTTAACATAAACAAAAAACTAAATCGAGAATAGCAGATGAGCAATATCCAAGCATTATAATATTCTCACATATCCTGGTAATTGTTGTCTAGTCTGGCAATTTCACATGTGTCAAGGGTTCGTACAGGTACTTAGTATGTGTGAGTATCAACAAGTCTTTCTGCGGTGTTAGCAGGGTAGTTGACCCAAAGGAGGTGCTGGTGCTCTGTTCCCATAAAGGGTGAGCGGTCTATGTCTGAAGCAATTACCCATGTTTTGGGCTTAGAAGTGATGTTGGAGTTATACTTGTGTGGGCGAGGTGACCTAGCGTCTCCTCCGTGTGCTGAAATATTCCCTGTCAATTATGCACTCTCCTGGTCTTCCAGGTTGTGTCATAGCAAGTTACTTGTGTGGTGTGGATACCATAGGTTAATTTTGCTCGCACTGTGTTGCTATATAAGTAACTAGACAGTATATAGACTGTCTTTTTTTATTTTTTGTTTCCCCTTATTAAACAGAATTGTAACGTAACCTAGCAATGATAATATAATATAACTGCGGTACTTGCGCCTGTCAGGTGTGTGAGGTAAAATTCTCTCAGCATTCATTGGGGTTCACTCTTTAGCATGTGTAGTGGTGTCAGGCTACAGTCCACTCCTGATGGATCTTTGCGGGTGAAGTAGTAGAGCCCACTGATGGTGTGGGTGTTAGTCCCAATGTCCGGAGCTTTTCAGGCCTTCTTCATGCCTTTGTAGAGGGGTTACTGTGCTGTTGCACATAACCAGAAGCTTGGTTGGTTATCCCCAGCGATATCTGATGCTGTTGTCTCAGAGCGTTGTCACTTGATTGAAGGCTTTGCATCTCCGCAGGGTGGCTGCAGATAGGTCTGTAAAAAGTTTTACCGTGGCATATTTAAAGGGTAGTTGGATCCGCATGTGGCTGCTCTTCAGGATTAGTTCCTTAATGTTGTAATAGTGAGCTCTCAGCAGGACATTGCGTGGTGTTGTGTCCGGTAGGTATCTGGAGCGTGGTACACAATGTACCCTGTCAAGCAGCAGCATCTCTGCCGGAATGTCCTGTGCCAGTGTATCCATAAGGCTGCGGACATATGCAGGAAAGTCATCTTGAAACACTGTCTCGGGCACTCCTCTTAGTCTGAGGTTATTTCTCCTGGCTCGATTTTCTGCATCCATCATTTTAGAGTCTAGTGCTGTAACTTGTTGCTGCAGCTGCTGTACCTGGTCGGTGAGGTTATTATGGGCCGTCACATATTCGGTCATTTCTGATTCCGAGGCCCATCAAATCTCTGCGCAGTGTGTCAAAACTGGCAGTCCACAATTTAATCAACTTGGTGGACAAGGCTTCCAAGGCCTCATGTAAGTGTTGTTTGGTGATGTTGTCCATCTTGTTAGAAGCCCTATGTTCGAACGCTGGATTACTTTAGTCCGAGGAGCCTCCGCAATCTTGTAAGGTGGCCTGCGTGGCCAGAGACAGGATCAGGCTTTTGGCCCCAAAAAATAAGCTTAGTAGCTTTCGAGGCTGTCTTCCTATGTTTTCCTTGAGACATTGCTTGTTTTGGGGGTAGCTGAAGTGAGTATAGCTTCACAGTTTGTAGAGCCCATGTGCCGGAGCAGAGATTTAAGCGGCCATCTTGCTCGGCAGTGAGCCACGCCCACCGAAAATACTTTTCTAACAATTAACTTATATTGCAAAATATATGTAGATTTAAAGGAACACTATAGTCGCCTAAATTACTTTAGCTAAATAAAGCAGTTTTAGTGTATAGATCATTCCCTTGCAATTTCACTGCTCAATTCACTGTCATTTAGTAGTTAAATCACTTTGTTTCTGTTTATGCAGCCCTAGCCACACCTCCCCTGGCTATGATTGACAGAGACTGCATGAAAAAAAAAAAACTGGTTTCACTTTCAAACAGATGCAATTTACCTTAAATAATTGTATCTCAATCTCTAAATTGAACTTTAATCACGTACAGGAGGCTCTTGCAGGGTCTAGCAACCTATTAACATAGCAGGGGATAAGACAATCTTAATTAAACAGAACTTGCAATAAAGAAAGCCTAAATAGGGCACTCTTTACAGGAAGTGTTTATGGAAGGCTGTGCAAGTCACATGCAGGGAGGTTTGACTAGGGTTCATAAACAAAGGGATTTAACTCCTAAATGGCAGAGGATTGAGCAGTGAGGCTGCAGGGGCATGTTCTATACACCAAAACTGCTTCATTAAGCTAAAGTTGTTCAGGTGACTATAGTGTCCCTTTAAGTATTTGCACCTCAGCAGAACTAACAACAAAAACACTAACCCTAGTTTGTGTGTAAGCAACATTAACTAACTTTTACTAATGATTTCTCGTTAATTGGTTACAACAATTAGAGGTGAAATTAGCACTGTACCTAGCATGTAACATGGCAAAATCAATAACATTACAAATACACATGTAATCTGTACCTGAAAGCTTCTTTTACGGGTAACTTAAAGAAACATACACACTGCAATGTTATTTTGGCTCGTATGTTACACGCCTGTCACCTATGACCATTATTAATTCACTTTGCTGTCTGTAACCTTTATCCAATGATTTAATGGAAAAGTTTGCCAAAGTAAATTTTTGTTGTTGTTAAGGTTGCAATATTGATTTATTGAGCATGACATTGCAAAATAGCGATGTTGTTCTGTTGTAAAATAAATCACTAATTCACAGGCCAAATTTTAAGAGGAACACAAACATGTATTCCTGACCCTATATTGTTAAAGCCTTATTTCTATCGCCGCTCGGGTCCGCCGGCGCTGGCCCTGCCTCCAATCCGCCTCCTTGATGACATCATCAGAATTGCAGATTTTTATCCAATTCAATGCTTTTCGATAGGGAAAGCATTGGATTGGCTAAAATCGGCAAGGAGGTCGGACGGGGGAAAGACAAACGCCAATCTGGCCAATCAGCACTTCTTCATAGAGCTGCATTGAGTCAATGCATCTCCATGAGGAAAATTCAGCGTCCCCATTCAGAGTATGGAGACACTGAATGGCAGTGCTGCCTACTGTGCATCACTGAGCCAGGAAGCACCTCCAGTGGCCATTAGAGGAGTGGCCACTTGGAGGTGTCCCTAGGGGCAATGTAAACACTGCTTTTTCTCTGAAAATGCCTGAAGGCAATGATTATACTCACAAAACAACTACAGTAAGCTATTTGTTCTGGTGACTATAGTGTCCATTTAAGTTGATTAGATCAAAAACAGTGATGGAGCAACATTTCAGCCTTCTGCAAGGTCTTTTTCAAGAAGGTTGAAACATTGCTCTGGCATTGCTTTTGATCCAATAAAAGTACTTGCAGTTTGCACACTGTGAGTGCCTGAAGATTCTTCTTTGTACTGCGATACGCTCTTGTATTTGCTGGTCCTCATTCAGTTAAGCACCCAACGTACATTTTGGAATTGAGTCCTTTGGTTGTTATCAGTTTTAAGTTGATAGCATTTTCTTTCTTTAATGGTAATACTGGCAGTAAAATTGTCTGGTTTGTGAGTGCATTGAAAACACTCGTGACTGGAAATGACAGTCAGAAACTGTTACTCATACCGATGCTTGATTGTAAATTACTCCATAGCTCCAAAACTCTGTAAAATGGGTGAGCATTTATTTTTTCCAACTGGATAAGCAAATGCTTTGAAGAGAATTGGACAACTTAGCTGGAAAACACAGAATGTTGGGACATGCATTAGATATCTAGAGTAAAAACCTACACTAATTGCATAAATGAGGTGTCCTTGGCTGTTATTTTGTTTTGGTAAGAGGGATTAGCATAATACAAAAAATATACACTTCTCTACGAGCTTCAGAATCTTTTCTCTGTTCTCAAGCTCCCTTTGAAATTAGTTCTTTTTCTTTCTTACTGAATTATTCACACATCAAAGTGACTGTTCAACAATTCAAGCAGCAGTTGTTCCTTTGCTCTGTAACAAAGCTCATGAATTTTACAAAAAAATAAAATTACAAATAAAACTGTGTAATTTGGAAATTTTAGTTAACTAAATTTACAATGTAGGGAATCGACACTTAACAACCACTGTTGTAGTCATTCAGACTTCCCGTAAGTGTGTGACTGGCACATGTCACATACAGAGACTACCGGCCTTGATTGGCACATGGCCCACACTTTACTGGGATAACTATGTTCCTTCTTTTTGTTATTTTCCATTTATCTTCTGCCAATCTTTATATCAAAGATTTATTATGCAGCTGAACGTAAGGGAGATGTTTCTTCTTAATTTATGTACAAGACTGAAAAAGGGACCTAACTGGTCTTGAAAGCTCTTTAGCATTCTTACAATTAGCCAATAAAAATATCACCTTCACTCTTCTTATCAAATTTAGTTAATGATTTTCATGCTTCAGGCTGGCTGATTATCACTAAAATGCACTCAAGAAAAAGAGGCAAAATGTTATACTGTATAAGGTTTGTGGGTATATATATATATATATATATATATATATGCACACAATTAAAAAATGAGAGCACTCAATGGATTTTGGTCGATCAAAGATTTGTGTTGTGAATAAAGGATCAATGTTGCGACCCGTAGGTCTATCGTTTTGGTACAAGTGGTGATATAGGTTTTACTAGGCAATACAGGTGAATTAATTTTTGTGCATTTGCTGGGAAAATGAAATTTTCTACTAAATATGAATCAGTGATGCTTTCTTCACTGTTAAATTTGCAGGTGCCACATGTAAATGTAGAAAGTATATTATCATGTTGGAGTTACTGTTATAGATTCATAAATAAAATGCGTTGGACATCAACTCCATAAACTAGTGAAGCTAGGAGGTTGTTTTATTTAATAATTAGGTTTACAACATGATTAGCTGGCAAGTGATAATATACGCAAAGGTAGCAGGACATAGACAATGTAACTCTGATCAAGGACACATTTTATAGTCTTAAATACCTATACTTCTTCAATGTCCTCCATCCGGAAACCAAGTTTATGTCCAGAATCAAATGGAATACCTGCCTCTTCTTGATTCTGATTAAGGAAGGACAACTGCTCAGATACATGATTATCCTTTAATGATGACTGGATTTTTGGAACAATTCAGATTACTTGCATAAACATACATTCAGGCTCAACTATTCTTTTCGGGATTGTTTGTAAAGGCTTTGCTAGACTAGGCAAAATATCCAAACTCAGAAGAGAAAAGGGGCAAGAGGACCTGCACATACCTTAACCCCCTAAGAGTCATGGAAATCTCTTATCTGTAGCAGTCGAGGGATAAAAGGTACGTACTGCTGTAAGAATCCCAAAGGGGTACATGAAATGACTAAACTAGAAACCCTGTCGCAACAAATACATGACAGTTCCTTTTTAATGCATAATGCATTAAGTAAATACATATTATTCTGCTGCACAAGGTATGCTATGCGGCATACCAGATGAAGTCTGCATTATTAGTCTATTCAAATTCCAAGCTCAATTTTATGTCTGGCACCATAGTTTGGCCCTCGGGAACACATTTATCATTAAGTAAGCCCATTTGTACACTTGTCCTTCACTCTAGGATATTGACGTGTCCCTAAACCATTTAGCATCTGATCTTTTCTTCTTGAAAAGAGTTTGTTATTATCAAATGGTTATTGAAAAACTGTAAAAAGACATTGTTCACAGTAAAACACAGGGGTTTATCTACCAGTGTCCAGCTTTGCATTCACACTGATTTGTAGCAAAATAATTGTATCTGCAGTAAAATTGTATTATACAAATAGCTTTATTTTAAGTTTTCTTACATTTCCAATAGAACGCTGTTTCTAGTTGACGATTTCACAGCGGGAAGATCTATTAAATGCCACAGCTAACCTAAATTATTAATGTGTCTTGTCAGATTGAAATGTTTAACAGAATGCTCTGTGAGAAATTATTGTTTCAAGGGTAGTGTCCGCACTTGATAAATATTAGGCTGAAATCAATAGCTTTTGTTAAGTTAGCATCGCCCAAATTCTTTGCTGTGGAGTATTGGATTCTATTGAATCACCATGTTTGATGACTGGATTCATTAGTTGTAAATTCTAAAAACTTTACAAATGTGTAATTTAGTACTGCCTGGACAACAACTCAAACACCACATTGTAAAATCTATTTTACTTCAGAATTATAAAACACCATCGTAATGCTGGATGAGGGTAGGTTCTTGTTTTATTCTGTTGTCCTCTCTGTGCAGTTATTTTTTATTTTTTTATTTTTTTGCTTCCAGTTTAAAATGTATTTCAC